TGTGTGATATGTAATAAAGTTAAGTTAAGTCGAGCCATCTCAAAAAGTACGCGAGCTACACTTGGGTGATTCCGCACAAACCCTCAGCAAGCGCTATTCAAAAAGACGTTTTGGACAAAAAAGAGGGAAAATACAACGCTTATAGAAAACTAACTACTGCAAATTATGGATGTTTTTAATTACACTCAGCTTACATTACTTTTTAGCCCTTTGATACATTTGACAAAGAGATTTGAACGTGTAAACAAATCAGATGAGTGCTTCTATTAAAACTTAAATTTGACTCCCTCAGAAAGAAGTTCACAACAAAAGTACGTATCAAAGTGTACCTAAGAGCCCCGGTGTGAATTGGCCCGGATATTTTCGAAAAACTTCGCGTCCACACGTAGCGTATTCGAATCGTTTACGCCCGTCCAAGCGAAAAACGCTAAAACAATGGTAATACCATAGCATCCGTTAGCTCGTGTTTTCCTCTTACATCTTTCTCGCCCAGCTCTACTGGTTGTAGAAGTTACGCATTTTAATTCCCAAAAGTGAAGAGACAACACCTTTTTTGACAACAAGACAATTTATTTACAAAATGACGACATTAACTAAAAGTTCTGCTAAGATGTAGACATACAATGAACCGTAGCGATTAAATCATTTGGATATAACAGCGGCAAACTTTTAGCGGGACGCGTAGCGAGAACAATTGCAATGTCCAAAGATGTCTCAGACTGGCTTTACTGCAGTCAACTTTTTCTACGAAGGAAACTGTCGAGACTCAAGCACTCAGTGTTCGTCTCAGGAAGGACCATCTTAGTCAAGAAGAAACAAGGGACCGATTCTAGGTGTTCATTCAGAAAGATGTCCATTACAATAGAGTTAAAGGGGCTAAGAGCCTCTTTACATGGAGGTGGGTGACCCCAGGTAGGTGAGGTAACCCGCTTAGGTGGGGTAACCCGTCTGTTCATATAATTTCTCATATGGTCACCCCACATATCATGTAAACGTAATCAAATTAAAATGAGAGATTTTATGGAAAGGCGGGTCACCTCACCTACCTGGGGTCCCCCCCCCCTCCATGTAAACAGGCCGTAAGTCATGCAATTTGCTTTCTTCCTATTTTAAAAAGCTAAAACATGACTTCGCATCAACACAATTCCAAAAGTAAAGGTCCAGTTTTGTTACTTAAGACTAGATTTACCATGTCATCTATTCCAACGGACGAACGGACCCGTCAGGTCTTCCGAGAGCTGCAAGGTACGTCCGTCCGCTAGAACGGCGGCGCCCTAACGACAATCTACCCTCGCAAGATGCCCAAATTAGCAGAACTAGTGCGACTCTAGTGCGACATGTTGCGGAAACAGATTTCCCCAAAATTTGTGTTGCACAATTAAAAATTTTCAACACAAAATGGAGACTTCTTACCGAAACATAGCCCCTCTAGTCGTGTTTCTGAACCGTTACATTTCCCACTGTGGCTACGTCAGGTAGTTATAAGACCGACTTTACCCTATTAATTAACCTTAGAATCTTAAAATACACCACAGAAACAGTCGCTCCTTTCTTTAAACGGGGTGTTTACATGAGAAAACTCGCACCGCCGCAAGTTTCATACCGGGATGACTTTTTGATTTCGAATAGCGTTTACATGATGATTGGGTCATTTCATATCTCATTATTTGTACGTACACTTCATGTTGATAAAATACACGTGTGATTCAAAATCGCAGACATTACGCATGCGCTACCTGTCCCAGTCTACGGGCAGACCGGGTGGTCGTTTCGCGTTTACATGATGCCGCTGCGAGATTTCGTACCGGAGTGAAATTCTCGCCCCGGTACAAGAACCGGGGTGACTCGCGCCGGCATGGCACTCTGTGGTGGTATCATGTAAACAAATGTATAGCCATGAGAGGGAACCGGAGTGAACTCGCTCCGGGGCGAAAGTCGCCCCGGTGTCATGTAAACACCCCCTTATTTCCATAACGGTTGATGCCACTCTTAGCAACCAAGCATGAATTCCTCCTCTCTTGGTCATGGTAAATACAATACTCCACTAGAAGCCACCCTTTGTTTAGCTTCTACTTTCCTCAGACCCAGTGTACAAAACTGTCGCAAAATCACCGTAAACAGACCATCTATCAACGGTGCGTTTCATTGGATCACAGCACATCAAAGGAACCGACAAATCCACTCTAGGAAGAAGATCTCAGTGGGGTGGTAGCTTTGACGGTTGTTGGTTAATTTTTTCCAATTTTGACGGTTGACTGTTATCAAGTAGAAATTTAGTCTAGGAACTTAAGTAAATATTAATTTCTGTATAAATTAATTTTAACTTTTGTGTCTTGGCCTTTCGCTTTTAAAATTTCGAAATATTTACAGATATAAGCACGTTGTGAGGTCTCGTAATGTCTAGAGAGTGTGTTTGCAGAACATAGGAACTGCGTTTTCCAGTTTAGAGATTCTTCAGGAGCCCGAAGTCCGTGAATATCAGCTGAAATAGTGAAATAATGAAATAATAGTGAGCTGCCTTAAAAAATTTTTGACGGTTAATATTAATTTGCATTCTGGACGGGTGACGGTTAAAGTTTAGGCCGTTTGACGGCTGACGGTTAAGCCCACTGAGGGCCTCTAGGAAAGGACTGACATCGGTTCATTTGATGTACCATGATTCGATGATCTCAGATCACTAATCCTGACCCGTATCATCTCAAAGCCTGGGAAAGCACCCTAAGTTGCCACTTGTCCTTCCTCGGGGATGGCCACATAAGCTCGCATAATAGTGATGTGGCTGTGTATACTCTGTATTATCAATTTACAATAAGACAAAACATAAATTGTTAAATATATGGTGTTATGCGGGCTGGGATCGCATATTTTGGCCGTATCAGTTATAAAAGACATGATCAATTATAAAAGCTTAACGAATGCAAATAAGATCATCGGCGCAAAGCTTGGAAAAAGGTTTACCGGATGATCATTCCGCGGTTTAAATATATGATTTTCATGTATTCATCATTTAATTAATTACAGTCAAACACGTCAATTTTCATATTTGCGACTTGCGGAGGATCAATCCGCTAATGGAGAAGACAATGAATTAGACAGTAACGATATGATAGCATGCCAATGGGACTGGTCAGGCTTGTATGTAGGAAAAAATTCCTAGTTTCCTTTCATAGTGAAAGCTGTCAAATAATAGTCCATAAAATAAGTGTCATCAAAAAGGCATCGATCGTTTCCGGAACGATATCAGTGGTGGCGCCCATTCATGCGCGCCCAACAAACGACCACTGCTTTGGTTCCAAATTCGGTTCAAATCGTTTACGTTTACCTCCATTTTCGCGAACAAGTGCTAGGAAATATCTGTTAAACAGTCAACTCACCACTTCAGAAACGGAGAACGAAACTGGAGCCGAAACGCAACCCGCAGTTGGTTCTGGGAACGCGCCGGTCAGCTATTGGTCAATTTTCTCCCCCTGTCCCTAGTAAAAGTCCCAGAAGTCTTTGCGAAAGTCAACTCGACCCAATTTCCCTCTCGTTCCTAAGTGGCGAATGAACGCACTCCATTCGAGCAAGAGTTCCCCCTAAACCCCCCTCCCCTGCCCTACCAAAAACACAACCTCGTTCCCAGGGTTTTCTCCTACCCATCCCTAAGGAGGGAGAACCTAGGAACGAGGTTGCCAAAAACACTGAGTTTGAAAACAAACCATTCAACCGAAAAATCCGGTTACACTTTCAAATGCAACAAACATTTCCAGCAAGGAAAATTTCGAAACTTGAGTATAGCGACCTCTCGAGGATGTTTGTATTTGCGGAAATATCAGAGGAGCAAGAAGAAACCTTTCACTCGCTTGATGACATTTTCGGGATTCTAAACCGGAGTTTTTCGTTGAATAGAAAGAACCCTTAGTTTACATGGTTAATTCAGAGAAAATAAACTACATTTCCTGTCCATATTATATAATGACGTGGTCGATTTGCTATGAAGAGCCAGCCGACGAAAAAGCGTGCAGATTACCCATCTGACTCAATCCAGACTGAATGTGAGCAACATGGATTTCTACGTTGTTCTGAAAGCAGCTGAAAGAAAAAAATATAAACCCCATATTAGCAAATAAATCAAATGAGTTACTAAGAATAACACACTAATGAGCTACGTTTTCTACCACTAGCAACGAATGTTGAGTATGAGCACCCCCCAGAACTGTTTTCTGCTTTTTCCATAAAAAAAGGGCCTCGAAAGGACTGTGGATTTGTATCGCCCGTTGGCTATGACGAAAGATGGTACACAGCTAACTAAAAAGCAAAACTTGAAGGACAACGGTTAATTCTGAGGATTATCTCTCAACCAAAAGAAAACCGCCGCCAAAATGATTGCACTTTGAAACAATGTACAGAGAGGTCAATACAATGGTGGATTGAAGTCAAATCCTGGAATAGCGCTAATCGACCTTTCAGGAACCTGGCCCATATAAACGGCGCCTAAATCTATCGTGTTTTAGACGTTGCCGTTGCCGTTGCTGTTGCCGTCTCCGTCATACCGTATGGCACGACATTTTTGCGAGAGTTTATTTTTGCGGATTGGCGATTTTTTGTGTTTTGCGGGAACTAATTTTTGCGATTAGGACAGATTGGTTTTTCTTGCTTTGAATTAATTTTCGCGACTTTCAGAAAGTACTCAGTACCCAGCATTGATAATATTTTCGTTTTTATTGAGTACGTGCAACAGAAATACACATTTTCAAACAATAAACCAGTATTTCGTTGTATACCGTTTTGTTTCTGAATAAAACAGACAAGTTGTGATTGAACAGACACAATTTCTTAGTACTGTATTTTTGTGCACCGAATTTAAGTTAGACAATATTTACTCTGGAGTAAATTTTGCGGGAAAATGTTTGCGGTATTTTTTATTTGCGGGAATTTATATTTGCGGATCGCTGAAAAATCGCAACAATTAGAACCCGCAAAACTTTCGTGCCACACGGTAGTTTCATAAGGTCCGCAACTCACCTGATGTTTGAAGGGTCAATAGTTTTCTTGATTTCATCCACAGCATCAGAGAGTGATTTAAACTCAAAAGTGTTGAGGTCATTCTCAGCTAATGACTGAACACAAACCACAACCGTTAGGCTTTAGTTAACCATAAACCGGGCTGGCGCAAGATAAAATGTAATACAGTGGAAACCCGAGTTTTTGAACCAACTCGGGAAAAGCACGATTGTTTCGAGTTATTAGGAGGTTTGAAAAATCGGTAGAAAAGTTACAGTATTTGACTTGTGAAGGGAAGTTAAGCTTGGTTTAGCCTGCGTCACAGACGAAACTTAAGTCCATCTGCGAAACAGCGTCGAAATCCTTGTTCTGGGCTTCCACCTGTGTACCAGGATTTGAGTACGTGCAATGATTGGCCAGTAAAAAAAGGTATTGTCGGCTTGCCAATCAGGATGAAAGGAAATTCGAAACGTACTTCCGGTAATTCATTGAATCCGTTGGAGGCCCAGAACAAGAATCTCGGTACTATGCAGACGTCCCTAATCGGGGTTAAATTTCGTCTCGGATACAGGCTAGGTTTGGTTCAAATTATCGGGAATTTCGAAAAACCGAGGGTTCGAGAATTCGGGATTCTAATTCTGTAATTTTAACCTAAGCATACCTTAATTTGAAGCATAAGAGATGTCAGGCCTGAGACAATTCGAATCAATGGCTGACTTGTTATAGCACCCCTGGAAAAGACAACAAATAAGAAACATCGTTAGGGAGGGACCATTAGAAAAGTAATAATGGGAGGGGTGGGGGATTTTCAGTTTGCAGGAATTTTTTTCCGGTCATTGTTGATGCAGGAATTTTTTCCAGAGTAACGCCCTCCGCAGGAATTTTTTTGGTGGAGACAAACTGTAAAATCGCTACTCTCTATTCTTGCATTTGCGCTTTACAATTACCACAGATGAAAAGATACACTACACAACAACTCTAATTCAACAGGTTTTTTCTCGATGTGTACAACTAGGGAGAGGAGGAATCCATTAGGTGTGGAAAGCTTCCCTCTGCAAATTTTTAATCCGATTAGCCTTGCCTCTGCTATCTCTGTCGCACAGCCCATCATAAAGAAAATAAAAGTTGGCTCGGTGTATTGTTCATAGAATTAACGTACAAAAATAAAGCATATTACATATTAAGTATATTTGCCTCACTATGTAGTCACTTCGGACATTATTCATGTAATTCATTGGACTTTGAGAAAGACTGAACTCATATCGACTCATTTCACACCTGATGGTTGACATGGATTGGTGGTTGTTGATCCAAGAATGTTGAAGGTGTGGGTGGAGGGGGAGGGGAGCCTGTGGGTTAAGGCACATTACAGTAAAACCCCGCGACTAAGAACCCGGATTTTTCCAAGTTAGCTTAAACAGGTTCTTATATCAAGGGTAGTTAGCACAAGTTTAGCCCCTTAAGGTTCTTAAATAGGTTTTTATTTTCTGAAGAAAAAACTCAATATAGCTGAGAGTATTTAGTGGTTCAGCTTATTCCTCATATAAAATCTGCATACCATCATCTTGCAGTTGGAATGATAAGGCACCTATGTCTCCAAAGATGATTCTGAATGTTGACTTATCTTATTTCCCAAGTGTAAAGCATTTTTTCATAGATTTTAGAAAATAAGAACCTGTTTTAAATTTTAGGCTACAGAGGTTCTTATATAGAGGGGGCTTAACTGGCAAACTTTTGCCTAACAGGTTCTTCAAATTCAAGTTCTTAGTTGCGGGGTCTACTGTACCACACATTCTGTCATAGTTTCTATCTAGGTTCAGCAGACGGAATCTGGCTTTATTATTACTTGTTTTTATACCTCGAAGGTTAACTCTCCTTCTGTAGGGATATTTTTTTGGTCACTTTTGGTTTGCATAATTTTTTTTTTCAGGCAATTTGGTTTGCAATAATTTTTTTCCTCCACCCCTTCCCCCTTCCCGCCATCACTTTTCTAATGATCCGTCCATTGCCAACTTGTGGTGCGTTTCACAAAGACGTGTCGAGAACGCTTTGATAACCGCTTTGGTTTTACACGTGCTACATGTATTTGTTCTCAGTTTTGATTGGTCTACTCAATTTTCTCGTTCGTTTAAGTAATAACTTAGGTCTTGATGATGATGATGATGATGATGATAATAATAATAATAACCGTGTAGTTTGCAAGGACAAAAAGGCCAGTGACAAATGACACGCAGTTCAAATTGGTGTTCAATATGTTGAACGTTGTTGAACGAAGACAGAATTAGGTTGATAGATGATCGACGAATATTGAACCGTCTGTGACTGGCTGTTGCTCCTTCGCACCCCATTGGGTCACTATTTAGTAAACTTCACTGCGTTTGGTTGGCGTTGCTTCCACTGCTGCTATGTTACACGAAGACGTTGAAGGAGGTCACAAATGATGCAAGGAAGACACTTAAGTGGGTGAGCATTGTTCATGATTTGCGACACCCGGCGCAAAGGAGGAATAGCATCTAAATATGTAATTTACTACTTACAAGCCCACGTTATTCAACTCCACGACTCGGGCAGCTTCTTCGTCACATCTCTTTCTAACACTGGTGGTTTGATCCATGGACTGAACTCCCTGATCTGGGGCAAGCTAAAACAAACAGGCAAAAAATGATCTTAAATAGGTGATTCCTTTTTTTTTTCGTTCTCTTCTGTTTTATTCAGTTTCCAGTTTCCAATTCATGAACTAAGGCTGAACACCTTATGCGGTTTACGTAAAGTTGTGCGTGTTCCTTGTTGTCGATTACTCAACCAATAGAACTAAGGGCCTGTTTACATGGAGGTGGGGGACCCAGATAGGTGCGGTAACATGTGGCGGATCACCCCACCTTTCATGTAAACATGATCACACTAAAATGAGAGATTATATGGACCAGGCAGGTTACCCCACCTAAGCGGGTTACCTCACCTACCTGGGATCCCCCACCTCCATGTAAACAGGCTCTAAGAAAATAGAGCTCCGGTTAAGCAGGGAGGGAGAGCGTGTGTCATGTTGTTGTTCCAACGAAATTCGGCTTCGTCTTTTTTATCTCTCGCTCTCTGTCGCTCTTTTCCTCGTCGAGCTTCGCTAGCCTGTCGCCTACTTCCTCGTTTTCTCTGTCTTTCTCTTTCTCGATATTCCAAATTTGTGGACATGACAATTAATCTAAGCATAATACGCTAGACAACACGGATATAGAAACAATTTCCGCTCTTCATTTTGTCTTTATTGACTCTTTAAATGTCTCCACTTCACAAGACGCGGTTAGCCATGCGATTTCCCGCCAAAACAATCTCGAGTTGCATTTGGGTTGCCATACCTGTTGATTGAGTTATTTTACATTGGTATGCCTGTGATGCGGACGGACGGACGGACGGTCACGCGACTACAAGTCACCACCAAAATTTCTCGGATGCATAGATAACCAAATTTTCTTACCCATGGAGCCCTGCTTCGCGCGCTTTGCGCGCGCGAGAGCTCCGCTAATAATTTTGAAATTTATTAAGCTTCCAAAAGTTAGTCCGAGTAACTGGAATCAGTCGAGTTTGAGGTTTACTCTACCTTGATTTTTGTCTATTTCTCTAAAGTAATTAAAAGTGAACTTTAAAGTCAGTTTGAGAGATGGAAACTACTATTAACCTGCAGGAACGCATCCGCGAATTTGCCGTGAAGAAAGAAAAGGAAGCAGATAACCAAGGAGAGTATTACAAAAAAAATAAAATAAATACAACGTAAAAAGTGTAAAATGCGTGATAGAAATTGTGTAAACTGTACATACCTCTTGGCAATATTCCTGGACTCCTGTTAAGTATTCATTGAGATCCTGTAACGAATATAAAAACGAGCACAGGCAAACTCCTTTAGATAAGTCAATCAAAAACCAAGCTGAGGTACAGATTGGCTAACTTAAAGCATTGCCTTGAAACTGTGTGAAATAGGGGGCTACTAACACTTAAGAGATCAAAGTAACCGTAGAGTTATGAGACATCAACTGTCACGTTATTAACTTATCAACAAATACCAAGCCAAGATAAACGTTCACTCAATCACCTTAGTATTGCAGTGACAATTTGCACACAGAAATCACATACCTTATTAAGCCGTTCTAACTCCAACACCACGGATGCATATCGTCTTTGGAATTCCTTATCAATGGGCTCTTGATATGATTTCTATACAAAAAGTGTTTTGAGTCACTTAACATGCACTATATCACAAGCGCGCTAGCATGAAAAGAAGGCGTATTTTGCAGTGCGAGCGATAATAATATTCTTGAGAATCATACTCTCCCGCCATCTTGGAAGTTAAAACTGACCAAGAGTTCGGGCGAGTCAAAAAATGATTTCGGCGACTGCGATCAATGTAACAAGCTCGCGTTAAAGGGGAAAAAAACGCCTCCTCTGCAGACTACAGGTGCACTGCCATAAAGTAAGAAGAAGCAGATTTACAAGTGCAGCAGACTTAACAAAATGACATCTTCGCGTTTCAGTGCCAACACAACACATAATCAGCTGTTTGCTTATTCCCCTGACATCTTAAGAAGGTTTTAAAAACGTTATGCCTCAGTGACCCTAGCCTGTGACCCGGTTCAACAAACATTTTGGCAATTCCTGGTGATTTTGTAACTTAAAACCAAAGTTCCACAATCCACACTTAAACTAGAACCTCCAGGGCTGTACAGCGTCGCGAAAATCTAAAATTCTACGACTTAAAAGATTTTCCTAGAGGCGTATCTTGCTGACAATACGTGCCGGTGATGAGTAGAAGTAATACACTATGAAAACAAAATGACTGTAGTACCATTTTCTCTGCTTGTGTGTTCATGTCTCTCAGTTTTTCTATGCATTCCTTTTTTACCAACAGGATCTTAGATAACCTTGTCTGAAAAAAAGATTAATACCAAAACTCTTGAGTTATTACTGAATACTCTTAATCAAGAAACTGAGGCTATATTCAATCAACACAATTATTTTAACTGGCTAAATATTAAAGCCACTATAAGAGAAAAAAAATTGAAAGACCTAACCCCTAACACAGGCTACAGGCTTCCACACTAGCTAGAAAGTTTGACATTTCACATTGGTTTCCCTGAGGTGCGGATGGACAGGCGTACGGTCACGTGATTACCGGATAGATAGATTACCAAATTTTCTTAGGTGTGAGGCTCCGTTCGCGCGCGCGTGAAGCGTGAAGAGTAAGAGTGCTGTGTCGTGATCGCGATCAAGATTAACGCCATGGCCATTGACAATTATCCTGTCCAGTTCACTACTCCCTCCATGACAGGGGAAACAGGGATGACAGGAGTTAAGTTTTACCCTGTCGAAAACATCCTAAACGGTAAACATTTACAATTATTACTTGATAATAACCGTCGATTTAAGCTCCACTTACCACAAGAATCAGAAATCTGATGGGGAATCCGCCCAAAGTGCCACCTTAAAAGATAAAAGCAAATAAACACTGTAACCTTCACAACAAATAAGAGGTGAATTTAAAAAAAAAAAAAATTGACAAAATGCAGGTGATATTGTTGATGATGACAGTTCATATTTCACGCCACAGACAAAGATAACATGGATGATGCGAGGAGTACCTTGTCCCTGCTGGGAGATGGCATCTTGAAGTCGCAATCTGTTAAACCAGCAAGAACCATAGTTAGAACCATTTATCTATGTTAGACCAGAGTTAGGACAAGTACTTGGTGAAGGGGATGGGATTAAGATGTGGGGTGTTTGGTCTTTTCAAAGACCGCTGTTTAAACTCCTCAACGTGAGTCCAACAAAATTGTTCATTTCATAGGTGCAAAATGAATTCTATTTGAGCCCCCTAAATATGGATTGAATTTGTCCGCGCACAAGGGTCACTCGCCTACCCAAGTTATCCTCGCCAGCCTACTATTCCTACATTTCCTTAAAAAACTTGGAGAACCGTTCACATGAGAAACAAAAAGTTGGCTGGGCTAGAGGGATGACCGCCTTTTTCGATGATAGAGTCATAGAGTCACCCTCGTTTTTCTCCACGTAAGCACTTTTGGCATGCCCAGCCAGGTCAACTCGGTCAAGGCGAAACAATCAGAAAATGCGCGAGCGCTCTTCGTTTGGGCAAAAGGGTTAACGGTTTTCTCACATAAATGCTCACTAACGACGACTCAGCTAAGAGGGTGACTCTCTCTCGGGGCAGCTGCTTTCTCCATATAAACGGGCCTCTATAGTTTTTAATTTCTGTGGCTACCGAGGGGCTTAAGACAGTTCCCGATGGCAAGCAACAACGTCCTCCTTTACACTGACTGGCATCATACAACCCGAGAGGCGTGGTGATTGACTTCTCCCAGAAGGGGCAGGCTAAACACTGAATTATGGAGTTACAACTAAGTTATACCATAGCCAATAGAGTGGAATGATTATGAAGCCCGTCAGACTCCCTTAATATACGTTTTTGTGGAACTTGACCATGCACAACGTACAATAGCGTTCCAATCATTTTGATCTTACTGACCAACAAAAACGTCGCATTGATTTATTCCGTCACAATTTGTGAACAAAGAACAAAGGATTGTGCACCGTCAGGGAGCTTCCAACATAAAGTGAAGCACTGTTGTTTATATCTTCGATGTTAGCCCTCTTTCATAAAAAGTCCTTTCTACTATGGTTTTAAATATAGGTGTTTTTCTTACCTTCCTGGTGACGCTCCTATGAGGGGGTCATGAACCTTTCAAATAAAACAGATGGTTACTGACGTGATGAACTAGAAGCTTATTGAGATAATGGATTGCCATACAGGTCGCAAAATAGTAGGATACAGCAAATGCCCAGGGCAGGAACGAAGTTTCGGTTTCACCCTAGGTATAGACCATCTGCGGTCTATACAAAAAAGTTGGAGGCAGGGACGAAAACGAGATGACCCAATCCAAGCACAGATGGACACGCAAAAGCCCAGGTAGGTACTTCTAGAATCCCCTGCCTCCCCCGCTCCACAGAATGAATTGATAAAACCGCCGACTAGGAACGGCTGGATACAGTTAACCTTCAGTGATTACCATTGAGCCTCATTTAAAATCATGTGCAGTGTCTTGGTCATACAGCACTAACGAATTTTCACAAAACGATGAAACTAGCATGGCTGTGTGAGCGTGGAAGATACTACTGAAATGAGGTCTAACGCAATGAGATAATAAAACGACATGAACTTACCATATTTGGACTGTTCAAATCACCACCAGCGGGCAGGAGCCTGAGAAAGCAATAAGTAATATATCAAAAACGAGGGTGAGTGCTTAATGACGGGTTGCAAACACAGAAAACAGATAAAAGCACAAGGCCGGCTGTTTCGAGGTCTTTGGAACCGATGATGAAGCACGAAGCCCGAGTTTTTGACATGTCTTCTCAAATGAAGCAATAAGGAATTATGCAGTGACATTTTTTCTCTGATATTGCATTGTTTCCATTACCCTGGGTGCCAGAGACTTTTCTAGCGCGGTTTCCGGTTTCTGTCAAGTCTTCGCCGCTCGTCGCTTCGGCCTACGGCCGAAGATGTGTCAGCCTTCGGCCAACACCGAAAATTCCCGCCGCACGCGAGAAAAACCTCTGGTACCCAGGATATGTTTCCATGGGTTGTGTTAGTCAATACAACATCAAATTTAAATGCAAGTGTTTGACCTCAGATGGCTGAGACTTGGTGGTTTTTTTATCTGACGTTTCCTAAGGTATCAAGATTCATCCACATGACCCAAATGGTCGTCATTTATTGGCTTTTGCTACATGAATACTTAATGAGCTTGAGAATTTTACATCAACAACAGCGAGTGTAACATTTCACGTCAAACTATTTCGTGTGTAAAAACGCCAGAGAAAGTAAAACTAACCATTTTCCATGGTCTATAGTCTTGTCGACCATAGAAATGACATCAAAATGTTTAAAACTCAAATGGGACAAGCCGCAGACGAGTGGCGTTTGTCAGTCACTGCAAAGTTCTCAACATTTTGACGTTATTTTTTTATGGTCGATAGGAAAACTGTTGTCATTTGTTTTTTAAAATAACAGAAAAATTTTTGACGCTTTTTTCCAGTAAAGTGTCTTGGCAATCGCTCGCGAGAGAAAAAGAACAACAAATTGCGACATTAATCCATCGTTTTCATGACCAAAACTCTCATCAACCATAGATCTCAACCAATCAGCGCAAAAAAATCTTCGGTTATTGTACTATAAAATGACACTGGAAGATTCAATATGAAAGTTGACGATAGCATTGGAACTTGAAGATTTTACGGCTAATGAGAACCATAATTAAGTGAACCTTCAAAGAGACTAAAATCACAGAAGATGGGACTGTATCAGCGGTGAAATAAAGAACAGAGACTGGAAAGGACAGAAGCCTATTTTTTTTCGCCCAAGCGATTGCACCCCCTTCAACAACAACCACTTAATTGCACATGAAAAACTATACAAGTAATGAATTAAAGTAAACTGAAAAGACAAAAAAAGAAACATTTCACACAACCCGCAGTTAGCTTAAGCTAATCGAGGGGGGAGGTGACGACCGAGGAAAAAGACAAAAACGCTCTTCAACCAATGAGGAAATTTGAGAGTTGAAAAGTCCCTTGCTTGCTGAGGTAAAACATGGACCGAAGCATAAAATTATTCGTTTATACCATCGCAGAAACGAAAAAAAAGATCCGATCAGAAGGTCTTAATTAGTGACTTAAACAGGAAAAACTGTTTGCTTGTTAGAGAATTTACTAAACATTCCCTCACCGAGTAGACGTATACGCATATCCCGTTTCAAGAATATAATGGATCAAGAGCACGTGTTTGCGATCAGCCATTATTCTAGCCAAGATTTGGTTACCTCTTTATGAAGTATACAAAAACCCAACTTTGAGATGATGAATTTTTACCGTTCATCATTCAACCAGGATAAGCCAAGTGAAGATTCAAAACGTTCTCTGGTTAGGCCGAAAAACAAAAAGCCTTTAACTTGAAAACGTTTTGGACTTGTGTTGACATTTGTTGACATAGGATGTGTGGTTCAGGATAAGAGTCTGGGAAAGTGTCCACCCACCCCTCCCCTAACCTACCATTTTGCCCTAGGTGAGATTTTAGTGTTAACGTTGATTTAGGGGAGGGGTAGGTTGGCAGTTTGCCGCTTTTAGAGTACCTTGGTGGGGTGTAAGCAGGAGAGAATGCAGCGGTGCGTGGTCTTTCCTTTTGAAGAAATGAGGATATAGGCATCGTGTCATGCATATCCTCACTCTGAAAATAACAAAGAACAAAACATTAATAGAGACAAATTTTAACCTATTCAACCATGGGAATTTCGCCGAGAATCGCGTTTTGAAGCTAGTCGAGCCGTTTTCTGTCACTGCCTGGTTATAAACAGCGAAAACTTACCACAAAACCGTTTGCTCGGCGTGCACTTCGCGGCCTTCTGATCCAGATGCAAAATATTTGCTTCTGAAGTTCGGGCATGCGCCGAAGGCAAAATTTAGTTTTCTCTCCTTCCCTCTTTTTTCGCTTTTCTTGCCTCATTTTTTCTTTTCCTGGGCATTTAGTAGGCTTCATTTTGGTGAGAAAAGATTATTGAAAAGCTTTTAGGATCTTAGGATTAGATGAAAGGAAAGGTAGGTGGGTAATGGAACAAGATTTTCATGGACATTTTCGGGTCAGCGTGGTATTTTGCCCTTTTCTGCACCCTCCTATACTGAATCGTGCTCATTCTGGTATGGTGTGAGAGATCTCTTTACCCTTGACAGGTACTAACTTACCAGTATTTCAATATCCGGTACAGAGTGATTACCAAGTCCTGTTGTAGAGAATGATAATATCACGACATTAAAACATGAACAAACAAACTGCAAACGAACAAAAAATGAATAAATAAATCAGTAATAAAACTATCTTATTGAAAGGTTGGGGACTGATGCGATTGCTCTAACGGCAAATTAACCCACATGAAGACGCTTTGCGGCTTCTTTGCAAGAAAATCACGAAAAAGGGATCTCTGAATGGGAGACCTCTCTGCTGGGGGTTCTGGATCGCTAAAACGAATTATAGTAAAAAAAAATCTAAGTCAGCGACTGAAAAGCAAAAATTCAAACTACATTTTATGTCCAAATAATGGCATAAAAACATTGAAATCTGCTTTCAAAATAAAGGTAACACATTCAAGTAAAAGTTAATGTATAGTTAAAACAATTCTGCAGAATATTCAAAACGAACACTAATGCATAAAAGATTGTGGCCTTGGCTCAATAAACAGAGCCCAATCAGCCAATAAACTTCCAGAATTTCGCACGAAGCACAAAGTTGGACTATTTATAAGGATTGAGAGTCATCAAGAGCATTGTCCCTCACGTATCCGATTTTGTCTCGTCACGCAACGCTCCTCTATGGCGAGAAAAGAAAAAAACGGCTGTGTCGGAGAATATCAACATAATAAATATCATTGGCATTTTTTAAGTTGCCCTTGAGGCTTTGTTATTGCTGCGTCAAATTGCACTACCTATCTGATCTGGCAAGCGAATTTTGACTCGCTTTTCTGCGCAACTTCTCAAGAGGTCGATGGAAGACGCACTGGTGTCTATAAACCAGACACAATTAGTGCAATTCGAGACAGCACCGACCCAGACTCACGCGCCATCTCAAAATGGTGATTCGCCACTTAGGAGCCGATAAGGGGACTGGTGCCGAAATGTCTTCCGCAGTTGTTAATGGGATCGTTAAGGTCAGCTATTGGCCAATTTTTTCCCCCTGTCCCTGGTAACAGACCCAGAAATCTTTTTCGACGTTCTCGTTGTCGTCGCCGTCGTGGCATTTTAAAATCCCTATTCACAAACCTGGTCGGTCAAAAGTGACTCTGTACGAGTAGTTGGCAGTATCAACAGCATCAATCTGCCCAGTAAAAAGACCATCTTGAGGTTCTCGAAGACGGGCTGAATAAAAGAAAAGAAGTAGTAAGGCGACAGCGTGTTAAACGTGTTTCCCTATTAACTTTGTAGGCCTGAAAATTTACACCTTAGCTAATTTTCTTGTGCTCTTTTTATTCCTGCTAGAGATAGTTAACCACGTGACCCAAAGTTGCAAAGGGCCTATCCGAATACCCTGTTATTGTTGCCTTACAAAAGTCTTTTTAAAGAACAACAACAGCGAAGAAAAATAAAGAGAAAGGAAATCAAACAACCTGTCACTTTTGTTCCAATCACCAAGGGTAGTGGGACCTCGTCTGGCAAATCCTTGAACCTGCTAAGTTCACTGACCTGTTGAAATGTAAACAACAGTAGGGCGGGATTAAAACATGCAGTGTTTCATTCAAGAGGAGGGTGCCCTTAAAGACTGATTTAGACGGTACGAGTTTTACTCACGACTATCGTACGCGACTAGCATACGTCTTGACTTTCGACCATCCACACGCGCACAATTTTCACTTACGACATCCACAATGGGTCGTGCGAATGTCGTGGGTCTAATTTACATTCCACGATCTGTCGTGAAGTCATGACGCATGCTAGTCGCGCACGATAGTCGTAAGCAATAATCGTACCGTCTAAATCAGCCTTAAGACAGACCTTCGCAGACGTTATCTGTAAGGACCATTATACACGGGAGACTTTAAGTACGATTTTTCCTGCGATTGCAAGACGATTTGTCGCTGCGAAACCGCCGTTGTTTCGACCTTGTTTGATTTCATTTTGACCCATTTGCCGGCAAATATCTTTTCGAGAGAAGCAAAAAATAAACCCTGAGTCTCTTAGTGGATAAGTGTTTACTCCCAACTTTAACCGCTGCATGACGACCCGAAAATAGCAACAAAATCGACAACAACTCGCCATAAACTCAGAAAATCGCAACGAAATTGAATAAAAACCTCAGCCAACATAGAACGCAAAATCACCAAGTCGAGAACCGGCCAAAAAAATCACAAACGATGGAAACTAAACCTAACCCGGTTTTTTCTAGATACTCAGTGAAAAGGCTACGTGAAACATGAAACGTGAAACGGTAATGTGATCTTTCCAATGGCCATTTCGAGGTTGGCGAAGTCTGGGTGATCTAATGAATTAATAATAACGAATAAAGTTAAACCATTGTTGATAATTGAAGGTGCTAACCTTCCGCTGTTGGAGCATGCGGATCTTCCTTCGTTTCTCCTCCAGAGCTTGGCGCTCTTCTAAGAAAAATGCAGGGGAACACCTACAAGCCAAAAATGGAGACCACTATTAGAAAGAAAGAAAACCACTGATATTTCACTACACTCACTTAAAAAAAGTAGAATTACTAAATATGAACGTCGACCAATCAGTGCCCGTTGACCAGATTCCGGACATATCTACGTCATCAGTATCGAATTTTTGGGGCAAAACGCAGACGTATCTCCCGCGAAACATCCTCAGCGGTGAGGAGCAAGGAAAGAGAGCTGTATTCGCAGGCTTTGTGAAACACGCCAAAGAACCACCGATTGCCAACGAACGTGAGGCACCTATCAAGTAATGCGTCATATAAAATGACACTGAAATTTGGTATAGTGCTTTTACAAAATGAAGTTCCCAAACTTCTAAAAAAAGCCTCTTTAATACTGCACGATTATTTCTGACTGTATTGTTCATGAAACTCTTGATTATATCATACCGACACACAGAGTAGTAAGTTAACATTAATGATCAAAACTTGATATGGACCACTTCGCTGTTTCGTTGTAAGTAGCGTGGTGAACTTAGATGTGCGAAGTGGTGCATTTATCGCCAAATTCTTGATTTTATCACCACACATGTCCAATACGCCCGAAAAGATCGTTGAGCGGTTGCGCAAGTAGAGGCTGAAGGCAAGTCTTCTTTTCGTGGACTTAACTCTGCTGTCTCACCATTACAGTCGACGCTGTCCTTGCGACCGCTCCCGTAGGCGACCGCGTCCACTTTTGGAATTACCCAACTGGACTATTCCTTTGTTTTTAAGCTCTGGTATGCGACCACTCACAGTCTTATTCATATAAATCAATACTAATGAAACTGCACACTGCGCTAATCGTCTAAAAAATTGGACGTAAAGTTTAGCCGTGTCTATATCCGATATAAAGACACTCATTAAACATTAATTTCCTTTTTTTTCTTTACGAATTATTAATGAGTTTCTGAAACTCTAGCAACCGACCACCCTGCATTGATTTACCATGCGGTGGCTTACGAGAGCTCATTCTCGAAGGCGACCAGTGCTAGTTATGACTACTTTTTCGAATTTCCGAAGTGGTCGCTTACGAGAGCTTCGACTGTATTTTGTTACAGTGTGCAACGGTTGCCGGAGAAAGGTGTTTCTTGACGCAACCACACAAAGGTGTAAGGTGTATAAACAAAGTCTCAAATAAAGTTAAATAGATATTAAAAGCTGGTAAATCAAAAAAAGCGGGGAAATACATTGCGGACTTGGGATTTTCACTCTTGTTATGAATTATGGATAGTCAATATAGCCCGCCTTCTTTAGAAAACATACTGTTCACTGACAAGTTCACGCGGGAAATGAGTGTTTTAAATTTCATAAAACACTGTTAAGGTTTTAGCTCCGGTTTTCCCGAGAAAAATCATAAAAAAACTCAAAGCTTTTAAGAAGAAGGAACATACCTAGAGACACGATTTTTAAGCTGTTAAATAAACTCCCGATTTGTCGGTATTAAAAACATTTATGTACGCCTCGTTTTTCAAAACTCATAAAACACTTCTACTAGTGTTTTAAACGTTACATATCTAAAACTGACCTTCGTGGTTTTCCCATTAGACGTCTAATCTCTCTCCATTCTGCTCTCCGTAGTTTGTGAGTCTTGGTATAAACGAAAACAATGGGAATAAAGTCACATTATTGTGGCATTTGTGCAACTCACAAACATGTATTACTATTTCAAGAAAAGATATCCCTGTGCAATCTCACGTTTTGGACATACACTGATACAGTTAGCCTTCCAACGAAGACATATTTCGGCGGTCGCTTCTCCCTACCCGAGCCCGAAGCGCAAAACGATTTCTGAGACGAAGGATATTATAAGCCAATCACAGCCTAGCTCTTAAAAACCCAGAAATAACCCGCGAGAATTCTCGCAAGACTACATTTCAGGTGGAGAGAAGTGACTTCAGGAAATAATTTACTATACAGCCAGATTAGGAAAAGTAACAATGAATAACCTACCAACAAAATAAATTCTCTATAAGAAGACACCATTTCGTTAATTGCACTAGGTTTTCGTCTAAGAGAGGCCGGTGTCCTGCTTACAGAAAATCAAGGCAGATTTCTGAAGAACGTCAGGGACCAATTTTCGTTTTGAGAATATGTCGGTTAGGGAAGAGATTTGACCACAGATGCCCCAAATTCGTGACCTTTTTTTTCTTTGCTCTTTCTTTTTTTCTTTTTTAAGTGGCTGTCCACCTAAGAGCGGTCCGGCGAGTTTGGGATCGCCCGTAAACCTTCCCTTTATTTTTTGTGGGTGAAAAGGACTTAATGAGGAATGATTAAAATCGAGCGAATTTTTTTCAAAATCTTTTTCTGTGCTTCGCTACAGCATAAAACTTCTTTCCTGTCTGAGAGCCCTTTTTCAACTTTATTCAATGGCCAAAATTCAGTAATTTTAAAAGCCGCGCTTCTTCGTAACGGATAAATGTCGCGAAATTCTACATAGTACAATGGATTGAGCTGCATTTGACGTGTCCTACGACGGTATCTTGGAAAATTTGACGCAAAATTAAATAAAATTAATAAGATCAAAGACGAGCCACTTTACGGTTTTTTTTCTCCCTTGACAAATTCCTCCAAAGTAAAAGCTAAAATCTCCAAAGCGGTACAAAAATCACGGGCAAAATGCACTTCACAGCAAAGATCTGACCTTATTCTGTTAGAAAATAAACTCAAAGGTGCGGGTATCATTCTGCGTCGGACGCGAACAAGCGTTTTTGAGAGCTCCTTTTGTCGATATTTACCTAAAATTGCAGGTTTGGCGCCTACAATTAAACTCATATGATAAGGCTGATATTTTTCTCACGGGGCAGAATCTTGTTTTGGTATGCTTCGTCAAAATAACGCACATTTGTTGTTTTGTAAGCCATCTTAGGCCTGCAAACCGGCATAAAATGTCATAAAATACATGTAGGAATTCTTCATCTACTCGTACATTATGCAAATTTAAAAGCTCATTTGCAGCGGGTTGTCGATTTCAGCAATTTTCAAAATCGTAAAGAATACAATTCACTTCTGCTCAAACGAAGCCCTTTTTGAGTTTGGAGTCTCAGCAACTAAAAGGCTCTTTAATAAAGACTGAATTCAGCTCAATTTCCTTTTGGGTTTTCTTCATGGTCATATGCTAATTATAGGGATTGTTGTCACGCAATGAAAGCGGATTTGGAGAGTTTGTAAAGGAGCAAGCAAGTTGATGCCTCTTAGTCAATGTAACAGGTGAGCGTTATTACGGCTCATTCGAGGCGTTGTCACTTAACGAAAAAAAATATTACAGAGAGCGAACTTACTTTGCAGCGGGCTGGGTATTTGGTAAAACTGCGCAACAAGGTGAAAAAATGTTTGCTTGTCCGATACATCGTGCGAACCTAGGGAAGGACTGGGGTAATCCAACTGGCCGCACAGAATGTCGATATCCAGACCATAAGGGAAAACAGACTTGTGTAAAAAGTGACAGAGTGTCGGGGTCAGACTGTAAAAATTGCCGCCAACCGAGAAACTTCCAAAATCTCCTAGTGGTGTCTGCAAATTCGAGGCTAGCGGATGGGCGGCTACAGAAATTAAGGGAATTCAAATTCAAATCATGTCAAATGCTGGAAACGGAAAAAGAAACTCAAATGGAATATGAGATAAATTTCTATTTTAAAAAGGGTATCCAGTTGCTAAGTTTCCAAGCTGAAGATTGATTACATTTGAGAAGAATTTAATAACCGTACAGAGTTTGAGATTTTAACATAGCTGAAATGGACAACCTGGCTGTAAACAAGCACGATTTGCATATCCGACGGGTTGATCAAGAATGTCAATTTATGACATTTTTTTCGGCTTTCATTTATACAAACTTAAAAAGGCTAGTGAAAAGAAAACATATGTTCGTTATTTTGAGGATACACAACAACATTCTCAGCTGCTGAGAAAATATCTACTAAATTAAAGTCGTTGTGTGTGAACCGTTAAGCGGGCAAATCTATGCAAATAATGCCGAAAAGAGGCTCTTAAAAACGTTTCATCACGTCCAACGCAGAACGATACCCGCACCTTTGACATTATTTTCTGACAGAATAAGGTAAGATCTTAGCTGTGAAGTGCATGTTACCTGTTATTTTTTTACCGCTTTGGAGATTTTAGCTTTTACTTTGGAAGAATTTGTCAAGGGCGAAAAAAAACCGCGAAGAGGCTTGTGTTTGATTTTATTAATTTAATTTAATTTTGGGTCAAATTATTCCATATTCCGTTAAAGGACAAGTCAACTGCAGCTAAATCCATTGTACTATGTAGAATTTAGCGATATTTATCCGTTACGAAGAAGCGCGGCTTTTAAAATTACTGAATTTCGGCCTTCGAAAAAGGTTGAAAAAGCGCTCTCAGACAGGAAAGAAGTTTTGTGCTGTAGCGAAGCACAGAATAGGATTTTGAAAAAAATTAGTTCGATTTTAATAATTCCTCATTAAGTCCTTTTCACCCACAAAAAATAAAGGGAAGGTTTACGGGCGATTGCAAACTCGCCGGACCGCTCTTAGGTGGACAGCCACTTAAAACCTCAGGTTGTTGGTTCATCTCTCTTCTCGTCTCCAAGACGAAAAAGCACAGTCATACTACACTTCGTTGTTGTTTTTTTAATGGAAACGAAAGGATCGACATAAGTTACAGTAGAGTAATTGAGGGAGAGTAAATTATCTCTTTTTACGCTTAAGTTATGGACCGAACATCGACTGACTGATTACACAAAGAGAACTAACTTAACCATGAAACAAATTGAAAAAGAAAACACCAACCTTTAAGTTTGGAAATGACTCCTTCAAGCAAACATGAAAGTCATTAATGCCTTCAAATAAGACCCTAAATAAAAGAAAAGAAAAGACAAGGAAAGAAACGACCATTAAAGGGAGTTATATTTACCAGCACCATTAGCCAAGTGATGTTTTCTTGTCTAGAAATAGGAAGGTTGCCAGCTATGATGACACAAATACCGATACCGTTAACAATCTATGTGCTGTATAGGAAGGTAAAACCATTGTCATTTTACCACCTAGATTATCACTAATCAGCCCTTCAGGAATTAGGCAAGAATTTTAAGTCTGGTGTTAATATTAATTTATCTCCAGACCACATAGCAAACCCTAGCTTGCGATTGTGTTCAAAGAGAGGCTTGAACAAAGCACTACTGGGATTCGATGTATGACTGGTAATATGACAATCAAACTGACACTGCAAGCTGTGACTCCTTACTAAAAACTGTACCTGTCTAAACTAGAGTAAAACCATTCAAAGTAGCACCATCTGGCTGCCTTGGGTAATTTCAGAAGGTTTTGTAGTTTAGCAAATGAAGCCTAAGAAGACAAAAATTATATGAAAGTTTGTTATTTAATAAATGGCTATGTAACTCAGACATCTACCTAGAGTGTAAAATAACAAGAGAATTTAATAGGGCCGACGTAAATGTCAATGAATCAAACATACATAATTTATACATAATTCTATACATAAACTTTTCAAGGGTGCACAAGGGTAGTTTGATTCTTGTTCTGGGCTCCCAATGGAGCCTACAAATTACTGGAAGTGAATTTCGAATTTCCCTTCAACCTTATTGGTAAATCAGCGATGGCTTTTTTAACAAGCCAATCATGGCGTGTACTCAAATCCTGGTACACAGGTAGGGATCCAGAACAAGGATTTTGGCGCTTTTTCTCAGATGAACTTAACCGGAGTTTAGTTTCGTCTGTGATAAGGGCAGTCCACGAATTACACATCTGAGATAAAGTTTCCTATTATCATATCACTGAAAAGGTACATTGATCTGAAAAACAGTTGCAAATTGGATGGAGACCACCCTCGCGATAGAACTGAGGAGGGTAGCAACTGATTTTGCTATCTGACGAATTCATTACCTCATAGTTATCTAGACCATTTGCGACACATTAGTGTCTGTTTTAAACCATCAAACAGCACAATGTACATAAAATATGTTAATCACCCCAGAAAAAAATCTTCTTGTATGTTTTTCCAGGGACAAGTTTTCAAGGCAGCAAGCCTTTTATGTGGGTACTTAAGTCGAACATGGAGGATTTGACAAGTAGCGAAACCGGTGTAAAGCCTGAGGTCTACATGTATCACTGACAAACATCGCCATGATCCCCACATTTCTAGAAGAGTTGTTCCTTGTAAATAATTTTTTTTTGGCGATCTCCAATCCATGATTGTAAACACACAACGGAAGGAAACTAAGCTTTCTTTGCAGCACTTTATGGCTGTTTATAAGAGCTACACATGTATGCAATACACAAAGCAATAGTTCTGTTATCAACAAAATAAAATAAAAATACCTTGGCAAGCTTCTTGTCTGTGTTTCCATTTCCAATTAAGTTTGCAGCCTAGGTTTATTAGGGACAAAGAACATTTACATGTATGTTTTCAATGGTCAATTACATCTATGTCTTACAATGGTTAAAATTAAGAAAAATACGTTCAAGAATTGAAAAGATCTGTGCGTTTTAATAAGCATCCCCAACAGGGTCTTTTAACCCAGTCATTCTGAAAAAATTTTTACCTCAGTCCCGTATATACTGATGGATTTTATTGACCTATCCTGATCCAAAACATGATGATAAAAAAAGCCTTACAAAGTTAGATAGTAAGACATTTGACAAAATCAGAGAAAAATGTGGCAAACTTTAGTTAAAACAAAATGAAGGAATGTTTCAACATTTCACAAAAAAATAAAGTCGTAGGCATATGGGAGGTGTGAGCTGACAAGAGGCATTTGTCAACAGAGGTTTGACTATAGATTATAATATGGTGGGTAGCTTCTTTTCATCAAATTTGACATAACAAAAATGATCAAATGAAGAATGATCCTCGCAGTTATGAACGAAAAAAAAAATTCAGCACTTTGATAGGATTTGAACCCTTGACCTCGCGATACCGGTGCAACGCTCTAACCAACTAAGCTATGAAGCCACTGATGTTATGAGCTGGTCAATTATGTGTTCATAAATTGCGTTCACAACTGTTCTAATAATTTTATACGATTTATTTCATGTACATTCCTCACACAAAAATAATGTGAGAACAAACTCGAAAGAAAACACTAGTAGGCTCCTCACTACATTAAAAATTCAAGTTGATGGTCAAGGTGACAAAAACAATGAACACAATGGTATGAAAAATACATGTCTGTTTCTTTTTTTACTTTTGTGGCCTCTGGGCCTCACTGCCATGAAATGAAATGCTAATAACTTTAAAGGAGCCTATTAATACAAATTAATTTACAAAATCAAAAGGTTAACACTGAGTTTCCTACCATAGATACTGTTCTCAAGCTTCCCATCCTCCTGAGAAACAAAAGAAGGAAACCAGTTGTTTAAAGAACGAACACAACAAAAATTACTGTGTCCAAACTCAGGCAAACTAAAAGGAGGTTTTTGGGACCTTTAAACCTATTCCTGGATATCTGGCCATTTGTGAAAACATGAATTAATTTGAAAGCCACGCATCAAGTAAAAAATACAGTTGGAGGACTATTTTGACACATTTGTAAACTGTCACAGTCTTTATCAAGGAAACAGTGGGCTTTTTACTCGAGAAGTGCTATATTTCAATGTCCCTGAGGAAAGTGTAACAGTCATTAATATTATTTGCTCTCTAAAGGAGGATTGATGTGGAATTTTTTTGAAAAAATTCTCTGAAAATCTAGAGATTTCTTTCAAAATGTTCTTGTAGCGGAATCCTTACTTCTAAGTGAGCCTTTAGGTGTTATTGTTCAGCTTAGATGTCAGCACCTGATCATGTCTCACACTGGCTAAAATAAGAAATTAAAACCAAGCCTGTAGTGCTCAGGAGAAAAAGAGGCTGAGGTTTTGTCCCAAAAAGCTGCTTTTATTACTTGGGTGGAGGGTCAAGTAAAGGATTCTCGACGCTCAGGAATATCCCAAAGTTGCTTTTTTGAGACAAGATTGGGCACGCAAAGTCCGTAGGTTTTCAGTTTGAGCTTGCTGTTTGACGAAGCGAGAGCCGTATGACTTTGAGATATCTTGATGAGATCACTTTGAGTGCTTTTATTTATTCTTTATCTTATTCAAGGGAGAAAGAATTATTATTTTGGTTTGCCTGGGGTTTAAACCGACTCACCTGTGTAACCTGTCAGATCAGAGGAGACTCATACATTGAGGGATTAGCTGATTGAACCACTAGCTATGACTTAAGGTAGTTTGGAATGTGAAAAATAGCCATGAACTTATGCACTAGTTTCAGGAAAAGATTAAGCATACAAGTTCGTGACTTTTCGGCTTGTTTCGGCTATTTCACGAAGTGAGACCGGAATAACTTCCAGATATCTTGAGATCAAATCGAGTTCTTTCGTTTCACGTGAGGAATAAATAGGATTTGAACCGAACCCATCAGATCAGATGCTAAGTTGACAGATTTGCCAATTGTGCTACCGAGACCAAATGTGGTCGATCGTGTGAAAATTAGGCTATAATATCATGCCCTGTGGGTTCCGGGCAGAAAATGAAAGAAAAGAGACAAAAATAATCGTTTGGTTCAATTGAAAATGATTGTAACGATAAAATGATTGAAAAGGAGCAAGTGGTGAAAATTACTTGGTTTTCCTCTATCTTAACTTCTGGTTTATTAGTTTAACGATGGTCACAACAGTTCACTTGCTTCGAAGCAAAAATAGTCAAAGATCTATCATTTGTGGTCCTCTGAAAGTATCAAGGAAAGGCTTTGAAGTATTATTTTTGTTCGCATCAAGTTCAAATTTACTGTCAGGTCATTCCGAAGGCCAAAAATAAAGTGGGCAACCATCCACGTCATGATGCAACTTTAGCCGCTGACCTCCACATAGCCAAAACTTGGATATTGCAGTCTCGTTTTCCCATGTTGTCCGAAGCGGAAATCTTGGCGAGGATGGACAATCTTTTGAGTTTTCTATATTTTCTTCTCATTTTGTTAGGCAAAGCTTTCAGAGAATATGGAAAAACATTGTTTTTGAAGAATCTTGCAAGACTTTGAGTTGCTTCTGAAAAGTTTTGATTGGAAAGATGATCGTTAGAATATCAAGGTGTTGTGCATCATGCCCGGAGCGAGTCTTTACCAAGAATTCTCTCGGCGATGCAGAACCATTCTACAACGACGGGATTAGCTTCGGCGACATCTTCATCGGCAGGAAATGTGACACCGTTGTAAACGTCTTCTAATACCACTTTGACCTCGTCTCGATCGTCCTCCTCCGCACGCCATTCATCAGGTAACATCCTCAGCGTAACTTCTTTTATTTCTACATATTGTAACCTAGAAATTTGTCTTTATGCAACCCTTCTATAGTGGGGGCACCATCTTCGTGTGCTGCTGGCAGTGCCATGAGTGGACCACTGGCTATTCCCGGCAGGCATGCCTCATCTTTGCCACTTTTAGGGTCTTCCATCCCTGCTACATCTACTATTTGTGCGGTGCTATCACTAAATAGGCCATTTGTTGTGGGTTCTGGATACTCACCTATCCCGTTGATGACAAAGATCTGAACTGGGCAGTTTGTTGATCTGGCTGACTTGTTGGCAGAAAATCTTAACGCTCAGGAGTCAGAACCCCACACCTTTTTGGATGGCAAACTTCTGGTCTCATCTTCTAATAAGAGGGTCCAGGAGATTACAAACATCATTACTTTCACCATTATTCTCTTGGATCTTCCGCAGTGCACACCCTTCCAGGTGGCACAATCTCACTCAATGCAAGCTGCTAATTATCAAGACTTCCCGCCAATTCCCTGGGAAAGCCTGGCTCCACTATGACGTTGCCTTTCATAAGGATGCAGCAGCATCTGGTCTGACAGACTGGTCCCGCATGAATCTGGATCTTTACAATTTTCTTACTCGCAGTTAACCATTTCAGTCAGGCTCCTCCTAAAATGGCTCGCCACAGGCCTCTTGTTCCTCTGCCCTGTCGTCCAATTTCTGTCACGCATGAAATGATGGTTCCTGCCAATGGCCCTTTGGTCAGTGCCACTACCATCACTGCTGTGAGAAGTGTGAAGGCGGCCACCCCCGCGTCAACTGTGGGGGGTTCTTTTCACGTGTCCTCATAGTGGTACTTGTCAAAAGGACCTTGTACATAGTGTAAATACGTTATGTTCTGTTCAATCTGAAGGCAGTTTGTTCACCGTTTCCGATAACGCATCTCTTTCTGTTACTGATTTACCTGCCACATGCCAGTTCACGTCTGTACATAGTATAAATATGTCACATTCAGTTCAGGCCTCAAATGATTTGTTACCGATTTCGGTGAATGCTGCCATTTCGATTAAAAAATTACCTGCCAATGCCAGTTAATGTCAGCGAATCCTCTTGGCTTCAAGTTGTCCTCCTTTCCACGATCTGTACATCAAGAACTGGTCCCTCCATCCAGGGTTACCCCAATCACCACCTGCAAACTTCAGCATGAGTTATTCCTTCACCCAAATCAAGCGTTGGTGGACTATGTAATTTCTGCTCTTAGCTTTGGTTTTCGCCGGCAAGGCCAAAGATGCCTACGGTGTGTTTTCAGCCTTCGGTAATTGACCACTATCTCATCACAGAACTTGAGAAAGTTCGTGTTGCTGGCCCCTTCTCAATCTCTCCTTTACCAAACCTTCACATCAGTCTCTTTGGAATAATCCAAAGAAATACCAGCCCGGCAAATGGCGGCCTATTTTGGACTCGTCTAGTCCCCAAGGTCACAGTGTTAATGACGGGATTCCAAAAGACCCATTTTTAGTTCAGTACATGAAGGTTGACAATATCATTGATGGCATCATGACCCATGGTCGGGGAACTCTTTGGCTAAATTTGACGTAGAAAGCGCATATTGCATCATTCCTGTGCATTCTGATGACTGTTACCTGTTAGGCATAAAATGGCAGGGGGAATACTTCACCGATTTGGCCCTACCCTTTGGTTTACGCTCAGCTCCTCTCATGTTCTCTTCCTTTGCTGACCTGCTTGAGTGGATTCTAAAACACAATTATGAAGTACAATTTCTATTACATTACTTGGATGACTTCCATACCTTGGGCCCTCTTGACTCTCCTGTTTGCCAACAAAATCTGGATATCTGTGTTCTTCAGTTTTCAGAGGGTGGTATTCCCCTCCACCCTGATAGGCTTCAGGGCCCTTCCATGTGTCTGACTGTCCTAGGCACTGAGTTGGACTCGCTGACTTTTCGGGCTTGCCTCTCTCAGGAGAAGTTTGACCATATTGCTGCTCTTTTGGATACCTGGTCTTCCAAACAGCACTGTACGAGGAGGGAACTGGAATCTTTCATTGGCGATCTATGACAACATGCTTGTAAAGTGATTCCCCCAGGTCGGACTTTTCTGCGTCAAATTATTTATTTGTTGTCCGCCTTTGACGGGATGACCACCCGATCAAGCTGATCAGCGACTTCCGTTTCAACTTTACCTGGTGGAGAGACCTTTTCCATTCCTGGGACAGTTTCAGTTTCCTACTTTCATCACAGTGGGCACCTCTACCTAACTTTCACATCTCTTCAGTTGCTGCTGGTGCAGGGGGTTATGGGGCCATTTTTAATGACCAGTGGTTTGTTGGCGAATAGTCCTCTGCTCAACAACCTTTATCCATTACATACAAGGAATTATTCCCGTTGCTAATGGCTATAATCGTTGTGGACTGAGAGCAACCTCTCCACTTCGAGTAGCAAGCGAACAAGTGAATGAGCAGCAAAGCTCTCATGTCTTGTTTCACTTGCCACTCGCAAGTGACTTCTCTCGGAAAGATTGCTCGCAGGCTGTTACAGCTTTCAATTTGTGAGAGATGATTGCATCGTCATCATAATAGCTCACTCAATTCCAAGTGTACCTGTACCCCCAAAAGCATTTGTGAAGTGCTGACGTCTCCTATGGCTTTCGGCATCTGAGCAAGAGTGAACAAATTTGCTCAAACTCCCGTCTTTAGCAAAACCCGTCAATTCCAATCACTTTTTGCGAGATATATCCCCAATTATAGGAAGAAATCGCTCTGTTTCTAGGTTTCCAAACTGAAGAGTATCCCGATGCTGTTTTAAAATGGTGAAAATGCTTTGCCGTAATTTCTTATACTATTAAACATGGTCAAGACGAGAACTCAAGACTCATGAGGTTACTGGTGGTGAGTAACAATAGAAACGTTGAAAAACGAGTCTTCTACTCTTTTTTTACATCAGGCTTCAAAAAGATCATAGTAGTCTCATGTACTGATTAAAGTTGTGTGAGGCATGGGTAAGGAGCGTGAAATTGGCTAAATGTTTTTGTTTGATGTTGGGGTAAAAACCAATATTAATACATTTAGGTAAACTCAACAAAGACAAAACGACTTTGTGTAGCATTTTGTAACATTAAATTCATCATAAAACAGTTCGAAAACAGCAACAATTTATAGACACACTGAATTCTACAGGGCTGATCAACACGACACTGATAGATCCCAAAACAAAGCGGGGTTGTAGCCGTCAACAGCTGTGGTAGCGAAAGGAAAAACCTGCAAGACATGGGCTGCCGCTGATCATTTTCCTTTGCAATGCAGAACCAAGACCGGCAAAGCAAGAACCAATAAGGAGCTAAAAGAGAAGGTAAAGGTGAGATACATGAAGGGAGGAGATGATGATGAGGAAGATGAGTATGTCTTCACTGTAAAATCGGTGACACAGCCTAAAAAAGTGGAGGTGATTGTGGGTGGATGTGTTGTGAAAATGGCGATTGATTCAGGGGCGAGCACTAATGTTGTAGACAAAGGCCTATGGAGTGAGCTAAAGCAGCCAAAGATAGACTGTGCATCCAAGAAGTGTGACAAGAGGCTTTATGATATGGAAACAAGGAGCCATTAAATAAAAGTTGGGGACATTTTCAACATTGACAAAAGTGGCTGAGAATGAAGTTCAAGCTGAATTTGTTGTCATTGATGGTGAAGGAAAAGCACTGCCTGGAAGAGAAACTGTCCGGCGACTAGGAGTGTTGAAGTTAGATGTTCCAGTTTATGCGCTGCAGTCTAAAGAGGAGATCATGTCAGATAACAAAAAAAGTGTTTGATGGTGTGGGCAAGCCAAAAGAATATCAGCCTGAACGGGTGTTCAGGTCAAGTTACATGTTAATCCCAATGTACCCCCGGTGGCTCAGCTAATCAGGCACACTCTGTTCAGCCTCTGTGACAAGGCAAGGAACTTGTATGGATATTATTCAAATGAGCCAGTAAAGGGCCCGACACCATGGGTTAGTCCAGTGGTGGTGGTGCCAAAATAGAATGATGAAATTCAGCTCTGTGTGGACATGCGTAGAGCCAATGTAACAATAATCAGAGAATGCTACCCCATAGCTACCATGGATGAAGTACTCAAAAGCCTCAACCAAAGCACAGTGTTTAGCAAGCTTGATTTAAAGTCAGGTTACCATCAGCTAGAGCTCCATCCAGATTCCTATGGCATTACTACCTTCATCATACAGTGTGGATTGTTTCAATATATGCATCTGTAATTGGAACAAGTTCAGCCCCAGAAGTGTATCAGCATGTTATTCAGCAAGCGCTTAGTGACTGTGAGGGAGTTGCAAACATCTCCAATGGCATAATTGTGCAGGGGAAAACCACTAAGGAGCATGATAAGAGTTCAAAGCGAGGTTTGGAAAAATTAAAATAAAAACCTGACACTAAATGCAGAGAAGTGAAAGTTTTAAATGACCAAGCTAGTGTTTATAGGACTGATGCTAACAAACAAGGGCATTGGACCAGCTGAAGAGAAAGGGAAAGCTGTTGTTAAGGCAAGGGAGCCGAAGAATGCCTTGGAAGTTAGAAGCTTTCTAGCACTAGCTAACTACAATGTGCAGTTTATCCCAGACTTTGCAACAGTAGCTGAACCTGTTTGTAACTTATCAAAGAAAGTGGTGTGTTTCAGGTTTGGAGATGGCAGAGAAGAGCATTCAATGAGCTGAAGAGCAGAATAGCAAGTGCAGAGACCCTTGGATATTTTGACAAAGAAGCCCGAATAATATACTCAAGCAGATCAAGCCATGCATAAGAATTTAGCGATGGATCCTGAGGCTACAACCTTACAGGTTCAAAGTTAAGTACTTGCCAGGAGAGCAGAACATTGTAGATTCCTTATCACGCTTACTGCATGTAGAAAACCAAGCAGGTCCTTTGGCAGTGCACAAAGCATCGGATGAATTATTTGTCACATTTGTGGCAGTAACCGCTACGCCACGCGATGATGACACACGAGATTTTAGAAGTGTTGGCAGAAAATAAAAGAATTCAGTGAGCTGCATCAATGTATAAAGAGCACAACCTGGAGGGATGGTCAGCTCAAGCAGTACATATCTGTAGCCAATGAACTGCGTGTGATTGGCAAGCAAAACCCCCATGGCACCAGAATTGTAGTACCTAGCAAGTTGAGACCATGAGTCCTTATGCTGGCACATGAAGGGCATCGCGGTATTGTTAGTATGAAGCAGAGGTTGTCATCAAAAGTATGGTAGTCCGGGATTGACAAAGAGACAGAAGGATTTTGTAAAACGCGTTTGGGATGCTAGCTAGTAAGCAGTCCTGCCCACCCTGAGTGAGCCAATCAAGTCAACCTCCTTAACACAAGGTCCATGGCAAGACTTGGCCCTGGATTTATTGGGTCCTTTACTGTCCGGTGACTCTGTGTTAGTCATGGTTGACTACTTCAGCAGATATTATGAAACTGAGATCATGTGTTCCACAACATATGCGGAGATCATTAAGAGTCTGGAGAGAATCTTCATGATTCATGGGTTACCACTATCAGTAACCAGTAACATGGGCTGTTTGAAAGATATTTGGAAGGCTGTGGTATCGAACACAGGAGAACCATACCATTATGGCCCCAAGCAAATGGCGAAGTGGAAAGGCAGAACCAACTCTTTTGAAAAGGTTGCAGATAGCGCAAGCCAAGGGGAAACAGTGGAAGAAAGAAGTTCGCAAATACTTGATAGCAAACAGATCGACTCCTCACACCACCACTGCAGTGAGTCCAGCTGAACTTCTATTTGCAAGGAAAATCCGGACCAAGTTACTTGAATTCCATGAAGACTGTATAATGAGTGAATTACAAGACAGAGATGGAGAAACGAAAGTAAAAGCTAAGTTTTAAGCAGACAGGAAGAGGCATGCAGAGTATTCAGACCTGGTTCCAGGCAACAGAGTGTCGCTAAGACAAGCTGTCCACAGCATTTGCACCAGAACCATATGATGTTGTTAGCAGGAATGGCAGAAGCTTTACTATCAAGTCTACTGAGGTTGTTCAGTTAAAAAGGAATACTGTGCATGTGAAAAAGTATATTCAAGCAGAGAGTCCTACTCTAACAAGACTGTCTGCCATGTATCTTGAGACGGATGGTGGAAAGGAAAAGAATGCTGTCTCAAAAAGACCAGCCCTGACAGACCTTGAGACGGATTGTGGAAAATTCAGAACTTCTACAGACGACGATCATCTACAAGACCAGTTCGTCATAAGAAGTTACCAGAGAAGTCCAGAGAAGACTCTTGCTAGAGACGAGAGTTTGAGCGACTTTGTCTGCTCTTGCTCAGATGTCGGGAGCCAAAGATGATGTCAGCACTTGGCAAATGCTTTTGGGGGTGTGGGTGTGGGTATCTCTAACAAAAGTGAAAACCTTAACAGCCTGCGAGCAAGCTCTCTGAGAGAAGTGACAAGCGAAATGAGATGCAGGAGCAAGGTGCAGGGAAAGAAAGTGAGAGCTCTTCGTGCCCTCCACAGCTTCGCTGCTCACTCACATGTTCACTTGCCAATCGAAATGGAGACACTGCTCTCAGTTCATAACATTTCTTGGTAATAGTGGGCATTTGGTATTTTGGTGAGCCAGCTTACATTAGGAATTTCGAGGAAAATTTTGCCCATGTCTCTTTTTTCACCCAATTCAACCAACAGTCAACAATTAACAACATTGCGGCACTCATGTGTGCCTGACCAAAAAATCCTGACATGCGCGTGATGTAAGGACGTCCAAGTGTATGCTCCAATAGCATCTTGTTGCTTAGGGATTTATGGCCTAAAGTGTAACCATTCAGACAAAACCTGAGGTAACAAGTGACTAGTAGAACATAGAAGTTAATAAACAACATGAAGAAGGTCAAATAACAGAAAAACAACAAAACAAACCTTGTTCTTGGGGAGGACAGTGAAAATTCCTTCAAATAGAAAAGAGAAAATAGAAAAATTAAACCAATTCAGACTGAAGACAAATTTAATTAAAACTGCTTATGTTTTTACATTAGTCATAGAAATTATCTGCTGCAGCTCACTAAGTGCCAGCTGAATTAGATGAGCCCTGATCTGCCAAACAGAAGGCCACAGGGTTTAAACTTGACCAGGCCAACATTCAGGGTCCTTGACTGAGAAGAAAATGCTGCCTTTGCCATGACGTGTGCATACATGTGAGGTATAACTTTGTAGTCTTTACAGATAATGCCGAATTTGTAAACCCTTTCTGGTCCCTTCTCAAAACACTTGGTCATTTAAAATCTGTGGAATGTTAAAGAACCCACACACTGTTTGTAAAGGGTAGGGGATGCAGTCCCTTGTGCTGTGGGTCTACGCGTATCTCTGCCGTCATGTGGCCACCATGGCTGGATTAGCTCAAAGGACTACTGAGCACAAAGACCACAACACATAAAGCCAGGAGTCAGGCTATTTGCTACATGTAGGTGCTGGAACCCTCACTTACCCAAAACACTAGTGCTACATGTTGCAAGTTTTCTTTTCTTATTTTTTACATCCTTCTTCAAACCTTTAAACCCCAATATTCACAAACAAATTCTCCAGACTGATCTCCAACCTTAGTTAAAAGAATTTATTTAAAGATCAATGCATTTTCTCTTTGGTGACGATTATAAAAATTATTATAACTTATCTCGTGATGAGATTCTCCTATACTTCGTTAGAAAAAAGGAGTACTCATAATGGCCACTTTTGGGCTTCATGGTTTAATAGCTGTGTTCTTTAATGCACTCTGATACATACAGGTAAGCACTGTACCCAGAAGTCAACTAGAGGGATTCAAACAGCACTATTTATCAGGTTTACAGTTAGTGAGCACCAAAGTGTTTCTTCATTATACATACCCCTTCATCAGTGCCTGTGTCTTGGTCGGTATCTTCTAAACTATCATCCAGCTGCCGGGTTCTTTTCTTTGTACGCGACTATAAAGAATAAATTTAAGGCAAAATACTCTCTTTCCTTGAATAGTAGCCGTCCCTTGATTAATTGCCTCCCTGGAATAAACGCCCCCTTTAAACGGAAATATTTAAAATAATCACTTCCCTCAAAAAATCTCCCCCCACCACCCCTTTCGCCATCTTCTCTTTCTTTTATACCCTCCCCGTCAAGTTAAAGTGGAGTCTGATCCAGTAATACTGATCAGGGTGATTCAAGCACTGACACCAGGGATATTGGCATTGAAAATTCATCAAGGAACCAAATTTGGAACACTTAAAGAGGCCATGTTCAGTTTATTTAATGAAAAAAAATCTGTATATTATTTTGAAATAGTCGCTTCCCTTGAATAATCGCACCTTCTCTCGAATAATCGCCGGCCCCTTTTGTGTGAAAAAATAATAATTGCCCCCAGCTATTATTCAAGGAAATACGGTACACTTAGACTCTCAACTTGAAAACAGAGATAAAAAATGTTCACAGAATTAAGCAAAGAAGTGAAATTTGCCATTCCCCTGGCTAATTCCACTTTCTGTGAATGTTCAAGAGTTTTAGTAATGACAGTTTATTGCACCAGCCACAAGAATAATGTCAAAAATGCCAAAAAAATCTTTGTACAAGCATTTTACTTTTTTGTAGAGTCCCCTGCATGACACAACATGAAATTCTCTAAAGTCAAATTCTATAAGAGACAATAAAGGGGAAACTTTTTTCTTTCTCTTTCTGAACTGCAGTGCAGTCCTTGACAATTTAAGAGAGCTGGAATAATCACACTCTACAGACAATCACTCTTAGGAAGAAAAGGGTTTATTTACTTACTGGTGTAGTTCGTCTCACAGGTGAACTAAATGGAGACTGTGAGCCAATGCCTGCAAATCAATCACATATAAACATTAATATGAGTATTTCAATTATTGTAAACCATGTTTAGTCAAACTTCCACTAAAAGGACTTCCAGTAGATGGACAGGCACCTTCCATGAGCAGACACTTACATGTAGCCATAGTCCTATTCAAAGACACAGCAAGTAAGACCTCCAGGGACACTGTGCCCTGCTAGATAACAGCCCTGTGCTAAATTGTTACGCCAATATTGCCCACACACATAGCCAATCAGAACACAGGATTCCTATTGTCCACTCACATAACCTTGGGGCTGTACTCCCTTAAATGGCCTATACAGGGGTGTACTGCCACACAGGGTATGGTTAAAGATCTGTAAAGTACTGCAAATGATCCCCAACTGCAAATGATCCCCAGTCCACAAATGATCCCCAAAATGGACCGCAAATGATCCTTGACCATAAGTCATCCCCATTGTTGATTGCAAATGATCCGGAGAGAAAATAAGATTAGCATGGACTCAAGTTATTGAATCATTGTTTCTAGTTTATTATCACAACAAAATGTATAAATTTTGCCTCAGAGAAAAAAAGAATTGAGTCAATGAAATACAAATAAATGCAACAAAGAAATAAACTTAAAGTATCAGTGAAACAAGAAAATAGCTCTGGCATAATATATTTCTGGTTCACATTTAAGTTAAAATGAACTTAACTCCGACAAACATGCACTTTTGTTAAATTGGATAAAATATTTCTGACAATGATGCGAAGATTCACTCTAGTGTGAAAATTATGCTTACTCGTTCTGTGTCTCATTTCCTGATTCTTTATCTTTCTCATGTCTGTACCATGCCACGAAGGCACACACAGAGACATATTTCCATATTAATTTTAATGGCATTAAAGCAAAATACAAATTTCCTGCCAGACATCCTTCCTGTCTTAAGTTTTCACAACAACGAAAGATCATTGCTTAAGAAAAAGGAGAAACCATTGCCCAGAGAAGCAGAATGGTAACTTATTGTTTTTTCATTTCATTGTTTTACACCTTGTTCACGTTCCCAGCATCAGTTACCGTCCATGCCTAAAATCCATTCCATTCTTCTAATTTTCATGGGGTCATTATTTTGGGGTAGACAATGGGGATAAGTTACAGTTGAAGATCATTTGCGGTCCATCTTGGGGATCATTTGCCGTCTGGGGATCATTTTCAGTCGGAGATCACCTGTGGCACTGAACAGACCTCTCTGTCCAACACAGGTACATAATTTTGTGTGAGTCTGTCCTAAACTAGCCTGAAATTCAGACAATTACTTTGCATCGTTTCCTCCTCTCAGCAACATCTGAATCGACCAGCCGTTAATGCTGTCCAGTGACGTCACTACCGGAAAACCGGGTAGTGATTTTGATTGGTTGATTGCCCAAACATTTGCATAATTATGTACAATTATAATAAAGTTTAGCAGGATTGTCGTTTGAAATTGTCATTTAATATTCAGCGGATTACATGCCTGGCATGCTTGTGTGGAGTTCAAAAATTTCGACAATCTTTATCGTAAACAGCAAAATTGCCCTTGTCTTTAACATTATGAATTGTTAAATTGAACTACAAATGAAGAATCATTGCGGCGAATTAGTAAGTTTTTCATTTAGAGCCGCTTTGTGGTTTCGGCAGCCAGTCTGTTTGTGCAAAGTTTTCTGGGATTTAAGTTATAATTTGACCTTCTTGTAGTTCAGAGAACCCCATACAGTTGACCGTTTCAACGTAACTACACACGAATTCCAATAAAAAAAAAGAAAAAAAAGAGTAAAGCAATTCTGTATCAAGTGGACATTTCCAGACGATATTTCTTTGTTTACCAGCTGAAAATCATGTTTTACTTTTTGCATGAATTAAAGCAAAGGAGTAGTGACGTCACTGGACAGCATTAACGGTTAATTCAGACGTTACTGAGGGATTAAAAACAACTTGAAGTAATCATCTCAAATTCAGGCTAGTCCTAAACAGGCCCACAGTAACAGGTTTATCTGCTGTGGTGACCCTGCCATGTATTATATTATGTAGGTTATTATTGTTATTATTTTTTACAAAGAGAATGCATAAACCTACAAAAAGACAGTCTACGAATTCAAATAAAATGAATTTTTAAAGGGTGTTTTTTGTGTTTAAAGATTTCAACCAATCATAAGAGTTCAAAACAATAGCCAAGAAAAGTTTGCAATTTTACATGTTCCACACATACATGTAGGATTTCTGTGTTACTTAGATTCAGAGGAGATTTTATTGTAAGGAAGTTGGTTAGAAAACAAGAGATTGATAAACATGCTGCTTTGCAAAGATTTCAAAAAATTTGATGTTTAAACCAATCAGCAGTGTGGTAGAGACAATGGTGAATGGTACCTTTTTGCATTCCGACGTGTTCATTTCGTTTGGTTCTTTTCTTATCTGGACCATTACTTAATACAAAAGAAACGAAAGGTGGATACGACTACATTAATTATCTTAGAATATAATGTGCTAGACAGCCTTACCTTTTAAGCTCACTAAGGCCTCAGCAGAAGTTTCTAAAATTAAAAGGAAAATTAAGAAATATTACCATTTCAGACTGTTCAACCATCCCGATCTCATCAGGATTCTCCTGATTTTCCTTGAATCCCAGCCAATATTCGATCAGGATAGGAAATACCCCGATTTTGACATCTATTCTGATATTTTCAAACGAATTCTTATAATACTTAGGTACAAGTACACTGAGCTGCTGAAAGTGATACTGTATTCGACCTCAAATTATTATAAATCGCGATCTGATCGATATTACTCCTTCCTTACTGCTTTCAAATTTATTCCTTAAATCCCTTTCACATAGGGAGCTGGAAATCGATCTTTCAAAACGGACAACAAAAAGACTTGTAGCTGAAGTGCATGATTGCTACCCGAAAACTTCGATTATCCACTCAACTACAAATTTTTCCTAGATATACGTGATGCACAGGCAACATACCTAGATACCTATAGCATAAATGTTTCACACAATAACTATTTCACGTTTTATTTAGGAAAGACAGCTATATAAATCAGCTACACAAAAAAATACATCACTTCAGTACCATACCTTCTTCCGCCATTTTGTTTTCTCTGGGCGACGCGCTCTTTTTCAAAGCACATTGCCGGTGGGCATGCTGGGTAAACTTCTTTCCCTTTCGATTTCTATTCTGTCCATTTCTATTCATTTCCGTTTTTACTTTCATCCCTTGTAAACTTTTCCAAGAAAAGTGCTACGTCCAAGAAACGATGTCATTGAAGAAAGCCATTTCAAAACGTCCCCCCCCCCTTGCGAACTGAACCTCCAATAGAGAATAAGTGAATAAAGCCTGACATAAGCGTGAATAAGTGTGACATCTTAATTGCAAATCATGAGAAAATCTAAGATAAAATTATGATTGAACAGGTGCGGAGGGGGTAAGGAAAGAAGAGTGAGAAATTTGCATTAGATAACATAATGTTTAAGCATATAATGAAACAATCGTGATCTACTACCATCCAGCAGATAAGATCACAATGGGCATTTCACAGGGTCGGCCAGGGGGGGTAGTGGTATACCAGTATACCCGAAAAAAATTCGCCAAAATACCCAAAATTCATCCAAATATACCCTAAATTCATGTAGGTATACTTTATACCTGAAATTCAAAGAAAGTGATATACCGAATACCCGTATTTAAGCTGCAATATACCGTATACCCGATTTAAAAAGCCCCTGTATACCTTATACCCCAAAACCCTGGCCGACCCTGATTTCAAACTTGCCAATCTCTTTGAAATGCCAGCTAACAGCTTGGTCTCATCTAGCCTCCTAAGCAGACATTCTTAGGGGTTCGTCACGGGTTCCTTCCCCACGAACGTTCGTTGGGGCCGGATATTGCGTGCTAAGCCAAAAGAACGTCTGCGTGGGTGGCCTGGTCCGTAGCCAAGTAGTATGCTAGTGAGGTGAAAGCACCGAGTTACTGCTTGTAAACATAAATGCTTTTCTGAGAAGTAACTCAATTATTAAAGAGGAAACAATAAAAGAAAAAGGGAACAGAAACATAACGGGCTTCACACCAACTTTTCCAGTCTCTTCTTTCCGTTCTGAAGCTAATCACCCTTCCGTAGGGGGTTACTAAGTTACAAGCTTATTCCTTCATCCTCGCTTTCTGCGATTAAATTTCCTAAATTTCAGTAGGTATGTTAGTTCATGTCAATCACAAAGTTATTTAAAGAGGTATTCTTTGCTATTTTAGCGCTTCCTTTAATTGCGGGCCCCCTAAATGTCCGGATTTCTTTTCAACAAAGAAAAAAAGGAAATTAACTTTCTTCCAGAGCTTTAAGCTAAAGGGCGATAATGCTATGCCTTATGGCGTAGACGAAAGCCGCCCTTTTACTTGCATCCAGGACCGAAAAAAACCAGCTATAATCATGGCCCAAACATCTGTATAAATACACAGGCAACCTTGGCCATCAGTTTTACACAAAGTTCATAAGTATTATCACTTTGGACAACCAGTCCTTTGACATCAAAGATCAATTATGTTTTAATATACTTTAATGACCATATTAAAACAAACGATAAAAAAGAAATGTGCTAAGCTAAATACTCCAGTTTTGGCAGGGAGATTTCCCGGGAGAGATTTGCGGAAGTTGCCCCCGCGAAGGCTTTGCGAATAAAGGATTATCGCAGCCTATTATAATGATCGTCAACATTCAAAGTTACACATTGATAATATGGCTCTCCGCTTCACACACCAAAATTTCAATTTTCTCTGACCGCCTAACTGAGCTGCAATTCAGCTGACATTTAATGGTTCGCAGGTTAGAAGATTTTGTCCATAGGCTGACACAAAAGATAGGACGCAACTACAATATGTAATTGGTCTGGGATTAAAAAGGCTTAGTATAGATCCGGAAAGAAATGATTATTGAAAATGATTATTTAGTCTACGTTATCGTTTGCTATCAAAACTGCTATGCCAGAAAGTAATTGAATCCTTCAATTCAAACCTAGACTGTTCACAGTCCTCTATTTTTCCGTAAGATCATCGTGATCGAGCGTTTTGCGTTACGGGCTGCCACCTTGCATGAGTGTCAAAACTACTTCCCTCCCCCTCGGTACATTTGAAAATCAAGATACCCGTGACGGTAAGAAGCGGTATATCTAAACGATCACACGAAAAAATAGGGGACTGTGAACAGTCTAATTCAAACCGCTATCAGTCTTAACGAGCCGATTGACTTCTCTCTCCTCCGTAGAGGCCCCCGCTGAGTATCCCTATATACAAAGAGGCCTCCGCGGAATAGACAGGGTTGACTTGACTGTGGGTGTATTTCAAAGTTCTAGTTACATCCCTCTGGTCAGATTTCTCTCGCTTGTATCCAGCTCATGGAAAATTTTAAAATGGGTTGATCAGGTATCCCCTATTAGTAGAGGGCCTGCCCCTCGGCTAGTTTTTCTTTCTTGACACATAAATAAAGTTTCTATCTATCTATCTATCTATCTTTTCATTTTATAGGATTTCGAGCAATATGGCTCGACCTCCCTCCGAGTTGAGAGGCAAAATCTCCATAAATCAAAATTCAGATTTGGCTTCAAGGATTGCGGGAATACTGTAAAACAAAGGAAATTGGTGGTTAGTACCGGTTTCGTTATTTTTTAAAGATGCGGAGATGGATCGTGTAATAATTAATTCATTTTAATTTACACTGAATCTCTTCTAGTTCTTGTTCACACCCTTTCTATCTCGTTTTTATCTTCCATTTCTCATTGCTATGGGAGACTAATAGGTTGAACCATATATAGCAGAGTAATTAGCAATGGAAGTCAAAGAAGCCGGTTCAAATACTTATTGAATTGATTTGTCATCCTCGGGGAATTATGAATTATTTATATTATTGTGATAGTTGGGTGACGAGATGATATCTATATAAATTAAAATAGGCTTTAAGAAGAAAGGCAATCTTTTACTGAGTTTCAAGTGCCAGGATCAACTCTGAAGGATGTCTTAATATAAATTTCATCATTTTCAAAAAGTTGATACTGATAGGCTTTTTTCCAAAACTTTGTGGTGTGGAGTTGTTATGTCTAATGGTTGACCCCGCTTCAATTACTTATAAGTGTTCTAAAAGCTTGAGAGGAACCATGTAAGTGCTGTAATTTTCCTTAGGTGTAATATTCATAATGCAGAAGAAACGATGAAAATTATTATTGGTCAATGCAATATTAAAAGTGTCATTATGCTAGCCTTTTGCAAGTTGCCATAGAAACAAGATGTCAAAGAGTCGAGACCAGTGAGGAAGCAACCACTTCATGTTAATGATACGAGAATGGTGTTTTAATTTTCTGATATGTCATTCTAGAAGCTAGAGACGGTAGTGAATGCCCGCCAAAATTTCAGGTTTGTCTGTTTCTTTGTACTATTTCATCATATCCGAAGCCTTTTGTTGGTGACTGAACATCAAGCAAATTTATTTTTCATGTTGTTTGCTTTAGCTCACGTCATTAAAGACGCTTTGTTCTACTTCTTATTATGCTTATAAGTTCAGCTGATGCTTGTCATAGAGAGAAAGATTCCAGGAGATTACTGATCCTTTGTGATTTTTATCCGCCGCTCGACTGTGATCTGTGATTAGGGGGCTCAATGAACAACAGTAAATAGTAGTGTTTTCTTGCCATGGGCGTTTCACCTTACAATAAGCGCTTCCAGAAAGATCAAGTTTGAATCGATGTATTCATTGCTTCATCCAGGGAGGGTTATCATTAGTTTTACTTCCCTTTACTTTCGCTTGTTCATTCACAGGTACCTAGCTTGTTTACCAGAGGCTTCTCTCGTGTACAGCGGGTGACAGTTTTAGAGTCGGGAACTGATTAAATGCATGGCAACAGCCCGGGGGAACAGTTTTAATTCCAAATAAAAGCGTTATCGGAGCTTATCTAAGGAAATATAATTAGCTGCGATAATGAACTTTTTTTTCGAATTAAAACTGGTTCCTATAAATCCGATAAATTACTTTTTTAAGCAATATAACGGCCAGTTGTGTTAACTTCAATAAGAGTTTGGGACGCCTGTGTTGAACCCGAGTTCAGTTTGGAGAAGTAGGGGTTACATACTACGACAAGACTACCGGTTAGACGCCAGTGGCCAATCACTGAGTTTCTAAGGCGCCCGTCACTGCTCATCTCGAGATTCGAGATGGTTTAGGAGACAGTTCTTCTGGTATGAGGCCAGCCCTTTTTTTCGTTTAGCGTCGAATGTATTTCATGATTTGGGGTAGGTCGGTCGGATAAAAAATATAAAAAAGACGTAAAAAAAAGAAAATCACTAGAAGACTTAGAATAATAAGAGGNAGGGGGCTCAATGAACAACAGTAAATAGTAGTGTTTTCTTGCCATGGGCGTTTCACCTTACAATAAGCGCTTCCAGAAAGATCAAGTTTGAATCGATGTATTCATTGCTTCATCCAGGGAGGGTTATCATTAGTTTTACTTCCCTTTACTTTCGCTTGTTCATTCACAGGTACCTAGCTTGTTTACCAGAGGCTTCTCTCGTGTACAGCGGGTGACAGTTTTAGAGTCGGGAACTGATTAAATGCATGGCAACAGCCCGGGGGAACAGTTTTAATTCCAAATAAAAGCGTTATCGGAGCTTATCTAAGGAAATATAATTAGCTGCGATAATGAACTTTTTTTTCGAATTAAAACTGGTTCCTATAAATCCGATAAATTACTTTTTTAAGCAATATAACGGCCAGTTGTGTTAACTTCAATAAGAGTTTGGGACGCCTGTGTTGAACCCGAGTTCAGTTTGGAGAAGTAGGGGTTACATACTACGACAAGACTACCGGTTAGACGCCAGTGGCCAATCACTGAGTTTCTAAGGCGCCCGTCACTGCTCATCTCGAGATTCGAGATGGTTTAGGAGACAGTTCTTCTGGTATGAGGCCAGCCCTTTTTTTCGTTTAGCGTCGAATGTATTTCATGATTTGGGGTAGGTCGGTCGGATAAAAAATATAAAAAAGACGTAAAAAAAAGAAAATCACTAGAAGACTTAGAATAATAAGAGGCCGGAAAAGCCAGATTGCTGTGGAGCCTGAAAATAATAAGACATGCATGGTCACCAAATCGACAGCAACTCAATGAGGCGGAAAATATGGTAGTTGATGTTGTAGTAAAGCAGGGCTAAAAGGCAAAAATTAGGAAACACTACCGAAAGTTCTATGTCTAGAAATGCCGGTACAATGCTCATGTTTCTTATTTAAAGAATGGCACCACCTTCGTGACCTATCCCGTAGTCATAGTGACCGTAGGGGTGCCACGGACCTAGCCACGCTTTCCCTCCGTTTGATTTTGTTTTCAGATTCTCTTACGGCGTCGAAAAACTTTAACCCTGTCGACAGATGTTATTATTCCAATCTTTTGTCGGCCTCTTCTTCAATTTCCTTACACTGTTCCCTGTGAAATTGTCTTGGCAAGCCCTGCTGCAATTTCTTCAGAATGTCCGCTGTAAACGTCCAGATTTCGAAGGCGTACAACAGTACTGAGATAACCAGGGTAGGACGTCATAAGTTTGACCTTTGAGCTTAGAGAGATATTCTTATCTTTCCAGATGGTCTTCAGTCTCCCTAGTGCTGCCGTTGTCCGTGCAATTCTAGACATTGGAACCTTGATCTTTGACGACTGCGCCCGCCCAGATATACTTGAAACTGTTAACCTCGTCCAATTTTTCACCGTTAATCCTGATGTGAAGGTGCCATTTGTGTTGCTGGTCATCACTTTTGTCTTTTCTGTACTAACTTTTATGCCAAAGGCTGCAGAGGTCTTATCTAGGCGATCCACCAAGGAGGCTAGTTCCTCCTCTTTTCCTGCTAGGCCATCAATGTCATTAGCAAAACGTAAGTTGGTAATTGTTCTGCCTCCGACTGCTGACTGTTCCTTGGTGATCAGTGTGTCAGTCATAATTTTTTCCACAAA